TGAAAGACAAACTACAAAATGATTTAACCTTAGGGAATTAAACTATAAAACTTAGTTTTGTGTTTTTTTTTTTAAGCTACACTAGGCTCCCATAATGCCTGACTGCTGCAAATAGGGACAGAGGGACTGTTTTCTCATGAGCAGACTTAGGATCCATATTTGTGGACAACTGGAGTTTTGAAAATAAAGGATCGTACATAAGGCACTGTGTACCACTCTCATTACATGTTATTGTGTTCCTTCTGTCAAACTTTCTTTTCTGAATAACCTGGATCTTGAAAATAATTACCAAACATAAACATTCATAAGATGTGTAGATTTGGTGGCACAGCACGTCGAGGAACACAGATTACTACTTAACCATCTCTGCATTGTATTTTCAGAATACACATGACATTTTGATCTTGGTGTCTTGAAATGATTAAGGGTTTTCCTATGTTTGATTCCCATAGGGAAATTCACAGGTAATTTAGGTATGATTATTTTAGAGGGTTTTAATTATTATTATTATTCATAACTATTTGGTAACTATTAAACCTTCTTCCTTGTGCATGAACACATACATTTTAATATAAAATGTATCACTAGAGCTTTAGCTACTTGGGCGTCTTCTCTTTCTAATTATTACTTGGAACAGTATTTTCTTATAAGGAAAAAGGAATCTAGTCTTTCTTGGGACTACTGCAGTGGGACCTAATTTCTTATGTCCCCCAAGATCGTCACACCCACTACTCACTGTGTTTGGCGCTAGGGAGGAGGAAACAGCCTCTTTCCAACTGGAAACCACAGCCAAGTTTCATCTAACTGAAAGCCCTTTTTTCTACTTCACCATCTTAAATCCTTCTGATAGCCTCATAAGCTAATAAATTGTCCAAGTCCTCCAGGAAACTATTCTTAATTCCCTCATCATTTATATCGTTCCCTATCTGTCCAATAAACCAGAGTGTAGCCTTGAAGGCATCTGTCACTCAATCTATATTATGATCTTGTCTTTATATGTGAGTTGATTTGGTTTTCCAAATCAGTGGATGGCCAAAGGCACTATGTTATTATTCTACGTTTTATGTGTGTGTCCTCTGAGGACAGAGCATCGTAGAATGTTACAGATGGGAGGTGTCCGTGGGATCATCGAACTGGTATATTTCAAAAAATACTTATCTGTAAAGCCCTAATTTCAAGTGAGAGCTTATGAAATCCTCCATACATAATAAAACAGATAACAGCAGAGTTACTCTGGTTGAAGGGGGCACTCTGACTTCCTTGTACCACCCAGGAAAGCCCAGGGCTCCATGGCCGCACATTTCTTCTAGATAAGAGAACCGAGACCTGGAGAGAAGTTGCCCAACATTTTGGTGAGGGAGGAAGAATCAATTTTTGTTGTCTTGAAGCGCTGATATCACTAGGGTTCTGTATGTGAAGACTGTTGGCAGTAAAGTTCAGAGCATGAGGACACCCACTGCTTTACTGGGGGAGCTGCTGGTTGGTTCTCTGGAGGCAGCACTGTGATGGAGTTGGCCACACAGGATGTTTATTAGAGATTAACCCCTGTAGAAATGAGAAGGAGGACACAGGATTGAGCAGAGGACAATGTCAAACTGCCAAACAGGCCCGACAAAGCCTTGGCCAATGACACAGGGAAATTCTGGGGCATAAATGGCTCATCCTAGTGACCCTGTACTGGATTTAATGGCTCGGACCTTGAACCCCCACTTTCATCAGTCACTGGATGTGGGCCACACTGGAAAGGCCGTGCCCTTGGGTAAAGTGGCTTTCTGCAGCTGAGGCAAATCCTACAAGAGCTCACAGCTGGAGGCTGACTGCCCACAGCTGGGACAACAAGACCTCCCTTGAAGAAATTTCTAGAAGGCACATCTCCATATCAACCACATAGGGCTACTAGGGGTTTTGGTGACTATAAGCGATAGTGGAGAGGTGGGTGGTGGTGGCAGTTTTCTCAGCCATCTGCCAGAACATCCCAAATTTCAGGTTAGGGATACCCTGACTGCAGAATACTGAGCATGATGCTTGCTAAGCCAATGTTAGGTCCGTCCTTAAGATAGCTTCTCCTTTGTGTTTCAAGATGAAATCCTGTGGGTTTTTTTCATTTCCATCTCTTTCACCAAGTTTAATGACCATTTTCACCTGTTGGGGCTTAATCTGGTATAGTAGCAAACACAGCAGACTATCTGTGGAAGGATTTACATTCTAGATCTCATTCTGGAAGTTATTAGCTGTATCACCAAGAGCAAATCATTTCCCTTTTCTGAGCTATGATTTCTCAGTTATACTTCTGGGACTTGATACCAAATACAACACTTTCAAAATGATAAAACAGTATTTTGAATGCCCTTTACATAGTGGTACTCCCAGGGTTGTTCTGGGCCCTCTTTCTTTAGCACTCCATCCCTCCACCCATCCATCCATCCCTCCACCTGTCCATCCACCCATCCATCCATCTGCCCACCTGTCCATCCATCCATCCATCCAGCCAGCCAGCCAGCCATCTGCCCACCTGTCCATCCATCCATCCATCCATCCATCCATCCATCCATCCATCCATCCACCTATCGAAGTATTCCTGTGAGTGATTCCTAACTTTTAATTTATAATTCCTCCAAACCTTTTAAGCCAAATAGTGGGAGATTTGGTTTTCTGCTAATTTTGGAGGTCCTTCTCCAGGAGAGTTTGTGCAAGCTCTGCTCCCACTTCATGCAGCGCATCTCTGTTTAGGACATCTCTTTGCCTCTGTTGATTGCAAATGTGACACCCTTCTGAGCCCCAAACACATCAGTTTTTCAAAAGCCAACCTCCACAATATTGTACATCCCACGGGGTTCGCCTCACTCGGGTGCCTTCTTTGATTTTTTTGATTTTTGTCCCATTTGCATCCCTCTAGGTTAGCTTTTTTTTTCCCTCTTCATTCTCCACTAAGTCCTAATTTTCTAGACCAAACCTCAGGCATTATGACTTATTTAAATTTTTTATTGTTAAGTGTATTATGCATATGAAATAGTATATGAAATGTTGAAAGATGTTCAGTTTAAAGACCAATAATAGAGCAAACATCTATGTACCAACCACGCACGTTAAAAAATACTCTTATGATATACTTAGCCATTTAATGAATGCATATTTATTGAGTCCTTACTACTTTGTGTCCAGAATTTGGGGATGTATAATGATGATTGCGAGATCATCTAGTTTACATAAAACCGCTCACCACCATCTAATAGTAAAGAAAGAGACTGGCAAATAATTGCAGTGCATAAAGGTACTTGCAAGAAGAAATACAAACAAAATGTGATTGGGACCATTACTTACACCTGGGAGAATTAGAATGGTTTCCAAGAGGATGGGACTTTGGACTGGGTTTTAAGAAAGGGTTTGCCTGGGGAAGAAGAAAATTCTAGGCAAAAGCAACAGCATGTGTAGTCACAGAGCTGTGAAAAAAGCACGGCATGATTGGAAAGTGGCAAGTCATCCCTTCTCCTTACTCTCATTTTGTTTCTACGATTCTCTGTCTCCTGATTCACCTCTCTCCACTCATTTCCAGGTTTGTTTCGTTGGATGTTGGATTCTCACAGGTGTTTCATTAGGCTCTCTTCTCGGTTTATTCAGTTTTTCTTTCATTCATCTACTCACTCAATGCTGAAGAAGAAATGAGTCTTCACCGATGTCAGCCTGCATCAGGGTCACCTATGGGGCTTGTGAAAATACAGGTCCTGGTCTCGACCCGCTTAATCAGAATCTTCGGGGCACCTAAGGATCTGTACTTGTAACATTCTATCACCAGGTGTTTCTACTGCAGAAGACTGGGACCACACTTGGAGAATCACAGCGGGAGGATTTCTTGTGTAGAGAGGGGAGGGCTGTAGAGGGCATTCAGGAACGGGGCGGAGATGGTCTTGTGCCTTCTGCCATCATGGCTGCCCCTTCCTGCATGTCTTGTCTGTGCCTCTCTCACATCTACCTCCTGCTCCTCTTTGGCTGTTACTTCTTCCTCCTAGTATGCCTCCACCTGTTCCTGTGCCATCTGCAGAGCCCCTTTTGTGTGTCTCATCTCCCTGCTCCATGCCACCCCCCCCACCCCCCACCCCCTTCACCCTGGTCAGGCATAGTCTGTGTCTTCCTTGGCTCTGTCTGTGGAACGTCCTGGGCTGCAGTACCACACACAATGGCACGTGGCATGAAAAATTGACAGTCACACTGAAAGCCCCTGCCTCGCCTCTCTACCCTGTTCTTTTGGGGAGCTTCTTTCCAGGAGCAGGGAAAAAGAAACAGGAACCCCCCAAAAAAGCTGGAGAAGGCACGATCAAGGATGGAATCAGAGGCAAAGGGCGCTGTTTGTCTGATATGCACTTCCATTACTGAGAGCATTTGAGTAGTTTTAAGACATATCAACTGTGAGACTAGACATTTTCACTGGAATATATACATGTAGATATTATTCTTGTGGGGTCATATGCCTGGATGTTTGTCTACAAGCGTTTCCTTGCATAGTTACACACATATTCAGAACCTTGGTTCTGTCAGCTCTGTCTGCACTAAATGTGTGTATGGATGTATAATTAAAGATTTTAAACTCTTGATTTTGATCGTCTATATTGCAGCTTCTGTGCTCAGAAAATTCCTAAGCTACTGTGGTTCATGGGAGTTCTAGCAAGTGTTTCTGTCTCCGCTGGTCCCTGTCAGTAAAGCTCCTCTCCTCTCTCCCTCTCTCTCTCCCTCTCTCTCTCCCCCTCCCGCCCTGCCTGCCTCTGCTCTTTTTTCCCTCCCTCCCTCTCTCTGAGATAGCAGACAAGAGAGAGAACTGGCACAGCTTCCTCTGAGAAGCGTGCTTGCAGGCGCCGATTGGCAGAATCCCGCGAGTTCCCTTTCCATCCATGCGGTATTCTTGGAGGGAAATGCAATGTTGGAGCCGGGGCTGAGCTGGACTGGGAAGGTGACTGGGAGCTCAGGGAGGCCAGCATCCTGGTTTAGCTACAAGCTGGAATCACAGGAATGTTTCAGCAGGCTCTGCTCTGAGAATCCCCAGACCCCCATGGATTTTCGAATTTCCCAGCCTTCTCTCCTTCACCTTTCCACTTTCTTACTTCCTCCTGAGATGGCCCCAGATCTGCAAGAGACATTTGAGAGAAGCTATTTATTAACAGATGGGAAGAAATGGATTCTGCACTTGATTATTTAGCCATGATGTGTCAATGATGGATTGGAAAGCGGTGTAAGTAACAGTTATCTATGTTCCTGTAGTTAGATGGTCTGTCTTAGTTGCTATTTTTTTTTTAACTTTAACTTTTTCAATGAATTTCCTTGTGAGAAAAGTGAAAATGAAATGTATCAAGTACTCCAAAGAAGTTAGGAGGGTTCAGTGTTTATGAGCTTTCTGCGTGTTCAATTGACTTGCAGAATACACACAGCTATATCAGATGAGACACCCATTCTCCTGACATAGAATCTACAAACATCCCCCAGAGGATGAGACTAAAACAGGAAATAAATGAACTGACAATCTTTGCTATAATCAGACTTATTCACAGTTGCTAAAAAATTGGACATTGGCTCATTTTAGCATGAAAGATGGAATTGAAATGTGTTCTCTGCACAAGATCATAAAAGTGAAGGTCCCTGTGGCTTTCAGAAAAGGTTCTTTTTGGCTACATAAATGAAGTTATTTTTCTAGTGTTAAATGTGGATGATATTTCTCTCCCATTTCAGCTTTTGTTGAGAGAGAACACTTCCATTCTAGAATCTAATGTCTGGTCACCCTAGGCTTGTAAGAGGCTGGTGAATTGGAAGCTAGTCATTGCTCGGCTATGCCAGTCAGAGGGGTTTCCATGTTTCTGTGTTAGGGCTTGATTTAAGTACTTAAATTCCCCAGTATTCAGGGAAAGGGAAAACAAAAACAAGTATCACAGGAGAAAGAAACAGCTATCGAAAAGATTAGACATTGAAATGAAAGAGTATGATTTGTGTTTTCTTTGAAGTTTGGAATGAGGTGAATTCTGTATAGAAAGAGCAACTTAAGTCCCCTCGACTAAAACCAGCATTTTAAAGGAGACTTTTAAGATTATAAATCACTTAAGTAAGGACATCAAAATAGATAGCTGATATTTTTTCATGATCAGTTGCAACTTTTTCTTTTAGAGTCTGCACTATAGTGTTAATACAAATATGTCTGGCTCACTTTGTGAGGGGTGTAAATGTCTATTACATTGTTTTGTACACCTGAAACTAATCAAACAAAACAAACAAACTTGCTTCGATTTGGAAGTAGGCTTTCTAACAAGGGCACTGTCATGAGCTTTTCTGAGTGTTCCTGGCCTTTCTCTCTCCCTCACATCCATACCCCAGGCGGGGCTATTGCCCCTCCCACCTGCCCCTCCCGCTGCCTGTCTCCCAGCCCCCATCCTTCCCTCTGAGTCTTGGAACACCATGAAAGACCCTTCTGAAGATTCCCTTTAGCACGCCCTGCCCAGCTCTGGACAGAGAAAGCACTGTAATGCAACACACAAGGTTGCCAAATTTGGAATCCAATGAACTCCGTTGATTCCTGAACATTAAATCACTTCTGTGAGCCATGGAATGAGATCATATCGCACAAACCTGACCCTAACTGTGTTCCTAACTTTATCAATTGTCATCTAACATCATCAAGGGCTGGAGCACCGAGCACCTGAGGGAGCCAGCCTGAAACCAAACTAAATCCCCAAACTCGGCCAGGATTCCTGCTGGCCAAATATACCTAGGGCCACGCCTTTTAAAATACGTCCTTTGTTATCAGGGAAATCTGAGACAGAAAACACATGTTGGCAGTGTCACGTGAGTGCTTCTCTGCACAAGAAGTGGTTGTATCACAAGGGGGAAATGCTTTCGATCTTGCGCTGTTTTGTTTTGGTTTCTTGTTTATATGAATTCTGTCAGATTCACGCATCTGGAAGAGGTTTGGGGGTGGGGATGGGGGAGTGAAAAACCTAGAGCAATACATGCAAGGAAAGGGAAAAAAATCACTGAAAAACAAAGTCAGACTGGACACAGAATAATGCTCAGACTCAAATCCCAGCTCCCATCCTAGGTTTTGGTCCCTGTGGAAGCCAATGTCACTTGCAGCCGTCCTGGGTTCGTGGAGATAGAGATTCTTTCACACTGATTTGAGTAAAGGAGGGAGATTTCTCCGGAAATAGATACATATTTAAAAAGCCAATAAGAAATTATCTTTGGAGTTCAGTTCCTGCCTGCTTAACAAAGCAAGCAACTCCCTTCCTGGTTCCCACCCGCCTCCAGCTTTTCCTCCTGGGCCCAACCCATGCCCTCTGTGCCTCTGAAGTGTCCTCTGGTGAACAGCTTTAAATCCCCCGGGATTCTCATGTGTGTCCCGTTAAGGCACAAAGATGCGCTGCCAAGGGCAGGGTTTTCACGGAGGGGGAGAGTGCTTTTTAGTGGCGACTGAGCAAAGGGGCCAGATATGCTGATACCTGCAAACAGTCTTTGAGAGAGGCAGCTGATTGGCATCAGTAAAACTGCTGAGCAATTAAAAAAGAAATACTGGAGTCAAGGTGAGAGAAAGAAAAGAGTGAAAGAGAAGGAGGCGGGCTGTCTCTGAGGAGTTTCCAACCAAGTTCCGTTCAACGCCCCGAAGGTCTCAATTGATAACGCCAGATGGGTAAGATAGTCTTAGACTGATCGATACCTTACAGATGGAATGGCGCTTTCATTTTGGCCTGATGTTCCGCGGAAAAGCTTGGCTCTAGATAGGCGGCCAGGTCTCTCACTTCGCTCACCAGCGCCTCCTGTGACAGCGTGTTCTGTCTCTGGATATCCATTTTCCTTAGCGACTGGGTCTGGCCTGGAAGTTGGGAGCTAAAGAAGGGTTCTCACACCAGCTGTCATCTTCAGATCTTTCACGCCGAGGAAAGCGCTTCCATTGGGGTAATCCTCTCTTTTCTTAGTTTTTACCTTTTGTCTGAGCGTATCGGCCTCAGTTTTACATCTGCCCAGCCTCTCCTCATCGTGAACTCTGTGTACCGCAGGGAACTCCCGAGTTTCCGGGGAGTCCACTGGAGAGCCATGCTGTTGACATCCTTAACCTCCCTTTCCCACCTATTCCCCTGGAGAGACAGCCGGGTGGGGTGGGGTGGGGGGTTGGGGGGGGAGGAGAAACAGGTCGCAATGAATTCAGAAGAGAAAGCTGACCTGTGAAAAATGCCTCTGCGAGTGTTTCTGATGAGGAAAACCTTGCCATCTGTCCCAGACCCTTCTCTCGTTGTGTTGCTGTAGGAAGTCCACGGAAGAACTGCTATGAGGCAACATCTAAATGCAGCAGAACCAATAGTTACTATGCACATTTGAGCTATTGACCAGGAAATCACGTAGCTTCAGTTCTTTGCATCAATAAAACGCATGCAAAGCTTACCTCGTTAGATTTTGTGACAATTAAATGATCATAAACGGTGCTTAGCACAGTGCCTGGTCATGGCCTTGTTCTTAACGGTCTCCTCATGTTCTCTGGTCATCAGGGAGCCTGTCATACACTTTCAACAGAGGACTCGAGTCCTAAACAGTGGGGCTGCTGGGGAAGAATGGGACGAGTAGGAGTCCAAACCTGGCTCTCCTGGGTCTGTTAGAAACCACTCGGATGACCTGGAGAAAATCACCACCCAGTCTTCAGATACTTCTGTTTCCCTAAATGGGTTACTCCATCCAGATCTGTGCTGCTACCTCCACCCAGCGTGTTCTCCTTCCCTCCTGCTCTCGGCTACTTCCTTTCTTCTCTTCTTCTGCGAACCTTCCCTGATCCCCTGTGCCTGGCTCAGGGCCCCTTCTCTGCAGTTCTGTGACACCTGCATCTCTCCATTTGAGGGTCCCCCACACAGACATCAGTGTGTGCCCATTGGCCTCTCTCACTGCATTATAATCGCCTTGACAGTGACCCCTCTGTCTTGAAGCTCTGCATTTGGTGTCAAGACCAGAACCCTGCTCAACCAACATGAGCTGAATGGATGCGCGAAAGAAAGAAAGAAAGAAGGAAGGAAGGAAGGAAGGAAGGAAGGAAGGAAGGAAGGAAGGAAGGAAGGAAGGAAGGAAGAGTGAATGAAGAATCTCTGGCCTGCCTCCATCATCAGTCTTGAGTAAAGATAAAGTGAAAAAGTGTGTATGAAAGGCTTTGATGGGTAGAGAGTGCTATGTAGTGACCTTTTGTTTTAAGTTTGTATGAGACAGAGTGTACTTCTAGTACTAATATTTTAGTGGGTTTCTTAGATACTAAGACATAAGTTTTAGTAGAACAAAACAATAGTGTGTGTGTGTGTGTGTGTGTGTGTGTGTGTGTGTGCGCTGTCTTTGCAATATGAGTCCATTCTTTGTCACAGAAGCAGGACAGGCTTTATTTGGGCCAGAGGCTCTGATGATTGAAACCCTGTGAGCAACAAAACTTTTCATTCCAAAATGAGAGATAAGACTGAAAGCCAGTGCCCCTGGGAGGATCTGTCTGTAACCTTACTTTGCCAGGGGTGTGAATGGGTGATGGCAGATCTCTGCCCGAGAGGATGGAGCAGGGAAAGGGGTTTCTAGGAGCAGAGGTGAGGAGAGAGAAAGAGAAGGGGTCCTGGGGCACAGAAAATAACACGCTGCCTCCTTCCTCGGCTTTGTCGTGGAGGTAGCACCATCAAGAAAACAGCAGGGACTTCTGAGTCTGACAGACCTGAGCTTGGGTTCCAGCCTCCGAGTTGGGTCTTTGCTGTATTTCACGAGCCCTGTCACTGGAGGTGACGGCTCTCCATAGCAATGCTTGAACTCTGGTTTATGATGAACCAGGCTCTCCGTGGCATTAGGTCTGACTTTCCTTCAGAAAATGTTCTCTGTAGGAAAAAAAAAAGAAAAAAAAAAGCGTGTTTAACAGAAGTATTCATTCCCAATAGCCAGTCCTGATGCAGAGCCGCAATATGGCCCAGAGGGTGACATGCGGTCATGTCCATGAGCGTGCTTTGTGAATAGACCGCTCTGCAGGGATGTGTATATTAATCCTACACATATACGGGAAAGACCCACTGCAGCTGACTGCATTCGAGTGAATAACTGTGGGTCTATTAGTCACCTCCTCAGGTCCAGCCCGAGAGTTGTGTAGGCTCATTTTTCACTTCCCTTTGACCCTCGGATGTCTCCGCAAATGAGCCACCTGCTGTATCTTGGTGTGGGGATGTAGATGTGGGGTGAAGTAATGAGCCC